GGGATGTGTGTGTGTGTGTGTGTGTGAAACACATAAGAGGAACTCCTTCTTGAAAACAAGCAGCAGGAGGGAGAGGGCCAACCCCGGACAGCTGTTCTTGGAGAGATTTAATCCTAAACGTGGTTTAGGGGTTGCCCAGCGCTTGGAGAGGCAGGAGGAGATGCTAAGAGGTTCCAATAAAGAAGAAAAAGAGGAAAATAATGACTCAAAGGTGCCAAAAGAAGGTATATGAGAGACGGTTTGGTGTAGTGGTTAAGGTGTTGGCCTAGAAACAAAAAGCACGGAGTTCTAGTGCCACCTTAGGCATGAAGAGTCAGACGGGTGACTTTGGGCCGATCACCAGGAGACGGTGAGTTTTAGTCCTGCTTGAGGCATGAACAGTTGATTGAGTGTTAATAATAATAATAATAGTAGTAGTAAAGTTGGAAGGGACCTTGGAGGTCATCTAGTCCAACCCCCTGCTCAGGCAGGAAACCCTACACCATTTCGGACAAATGGCTGTCCAGTCTCTTCTTAAAAACTTCCAGTGTTGGAGCATTTACTGCTTCTGGAGGCAGGCTGTTCCACTGATTAATTGTTCTCACTTTGTGCCAGTCACTCTCTCTCAGGCCAGCTCACCTCACAGGGTTGTTGCGAGGAAAATAGGAGAGGAAGGAGTTATTAGTATGTTCACCACCTTGAGTTACTTGTATACTGTTTTTACGAGAGTGGCTGCCCTCTTAACCAATCCGATTCTCTCCTTTTCTGTGGAAAATGCAACTCCCAGAATCCCTCTGCCGCTATTCTGGCAAGGCATTCTGGGAGGATAGTCCTCACACATGGGAAGGGCAGGCTGGTTGGTCCCAAGCAACCTAGCTGGGAGCTAAAAGCAGCAGCACTGACAATTCCAAGGCAGATTACTTCTGACCGTGGACATCTCATGTGCTGGATTGGAAGATCTGCCTTGTTTCGAATTCTGTTCTCATACCGTAGGAAAACAGCTGCACACTTGGGCCTTCAGGAATTTATATTGTCTCTCTTCCAACAGTGCAGCTGAAATCTCTTTGCTATGAGGAGATCTACTTTAGACCAGGGATGCCCAGCCTTGCCCACTTTAAGACCTGTGGACTTCAATTCCCAGAATTCTCCAGCCACCAGGGCTGGTTGGGGAATTCTGGGAGTTGAAGTCCATTTATTAACCTAACCCAGGGGTAGGCAACCTTGACTCTTTTATTACTTGTGGACTTCAACTCCCAGAATTCCTGAGCCAGTCCATGAGTCATAAAAGAACAAAGGTTGCCTACCCCTGACCTAACCACAATTGGCTGGATTTATACAATAGCCAAATCATAAATTGTGATTTTATAAACCCCGATGCTGGATTCAGACATGTCGCCACCCTCCAAAACCAACCGCATGATAAATTAGCAAACGTAGACATTTCCTTCTAGCATTTTTTGTCCCAAAGATTTGCATAACTCCCACTCTGTGAGAAGGGCAGCTCAATACTTTCTTTTCCTAAAAAAAAAAAGAAAAAAAAGAAAGCAAAGTCCCAACGAGATACGGCTTAAACCACAATACCTACCATGCCAAGCAATACGAGAGATTTTACCAAACCGTCAGAAGCAGATTATTGGGGGGTTTTGGGGGTGGGGTGGGGGTGAGAAACGGAGGGGCCACAGGATGGTGCGGTGGAACAAAGAAAGGAGCCGAAGAGAAGCAGGCCGGCCGGAAGCAGAACATCAAAAGATGGTCTGTTGTTGGTTATTCCTGTCATGTTTTAATTAGGATCAGCTCTGGTTCTGTTCTGCGCATGGGAACATCTGACCTTTAGAAAGGAAGAGACGGGTGGGGGGGGGAACGAGGGAGGGAAACGGGAGACAAGAGCTTCTAATAATCTGCTAGTTGCTTTTAATAAACTCAAAGCCAAGAAAGCCTTTTTTAAAAATAAAAAAAGCCCCAGAGGGTCTATTTTTTGATCTCTTGCAAGAGAGGGAGAGAGGGAGGGGGAGAGAGAGAGAGAAGGAGAGGGAGAGAGGGAGGGGGAGAGAGAGAGGGGGGAGAGAGAGGGAGAGAGGAAGGAGAGGGAGAGAGGGGGGGAGGGAGAGAAAGGGGGAGAGAGAGAGAGAGAGAGAGAGAGAGGGGGAGAGAGAGAGAGAGAGAGAGAGAGAGAGAGAGAGAGAGAGAGAGAGCACCCACGAAAGAGAGGTGGTGGTGCAAAGCAAGATTGGAGAGGACCAAGACTGCATCCTAGGTGGCAGGACCAAAAATAACACCTCACAGCCTCACACCCGGGCTGACGTGAGCACAACCCACTAAGTTGGCGTCACAGCAGAATTGGTGAAATGCAAGAGGGGAAGAAGAAGAGGGAAGGAAGAGAGAAGAGAAAGCAAAAGGCCGATTTGGGTTACAGGGGGGAAATGGGAGCCAGGAGCAGGCAGGAGCCTTGCAAATGGGAGGTTTAGCCAAATGACAGCTGACACCGACTTTTCTTCCGAAAATGGACGCTGTATGGATTTGGTCTGCAACGGTCTCTGGAACAGCAACTTCCTCTGGGCTGAGTTCAAATATTCTAAGTATTTTTTTTAAAAAAAAAAAACCAAAACAAGCAAATAAACTACTCTTTCAAGATGATTTGCAATATATCTGAGAAATTGGCACTGGGCTGTGAAAAAAACAACCCAAACAGCGCGAGACGGCAATCAGAGCCACAATTACATCACTCACTGGGTGTTTGACAATCCCTCCTTTCTAAGCCAGGGTTTAACTCTGGTTACTCAAAGTTACACAAAACTGATTTAGGCACATAAACCTACCGGTTAAGAGTCAGTCTGGTGTATGGTTAAGGCAACAGGCTAGAGTTCTACCCTAGGCATGAAATCCGACTGGTTGAGGCATGAAATCCGACTGGTTGATTTGTGAGTTCTAGTCCCGCCTTAGGCATGAGAACCATCCAGGTGACTTTGGGCTACTCAGCAGGGGGCTGTGAGTTCTAGTCCCGCCTTAGGCATGAGAACCATCCAGGTGACTTTGGGCTACTCAGCAGGGGGCTGTGAGTTCTAGTCCCGCCTTAGGCATGAGAACCATCCAGGTGACTTTGGGCTACTCAGCAGGGGGCTGTGAGTTCTAGTCCCGCCTTAGGCATGAGAACCATCCAGGTGACTTTGGGCTACTCAGCAGGGGGCTGTGAGTTCTAGTCCCGCCTTAGGCATGAAAACCATCCAGGTAGCTTTGGGCCAATCCCTCTCTTTCAGCCCACCCCACCGGGTTGTTGTTGTGGGGAAAACAGGAGGAGGAAGCTGTGTTGGATATGCTCGCCACCTTGCGTTATTTGTAAAAAAAATAATAAAAGGCAGGATACAAATGAATAAATGATCCCTACAAAGTCAAAATCAAAACCACATTTATACGCCAAGGGTGTTTTCAACTTTGCTAATGATATTCCCAGATGTGGTGGATAAACCCTTTGGCTGAAAACCCCCCGGAGACAAGCGACCTCCCCCCCTCCCCCCAACCTTTTCCTCTAGTGTCGTTCACTACAGTGTCAGGTTTTTTGTAAAAAAATATTTTTATTTATTTGTATCCCGCCTTTTTATTATTTTTACAAATAACTCAATGGCGGCTGAACATGTCCCACATCCCTTCCACCTAACTCGGTGCCTGGAAAAAGTACCACAGCTTGTGAGGAACTCTCCTCCTCCTCCAATCTGGGACACCTCCCAATGAATTCGTTCCTTTCAAAAGTAAATATCTAAAAGTGTCTGGGATTTTTTGCAAGGACAGCAAATCTTGCTAGATTCGGGGTTGTTGTTTTTTTTCCTGACTACATTCTCAAAAAAGCCACCGATGACTCTCAGGGGGGAAACTGCAACTAATTTTACAGCCACCCTCTCTAACTCCATCCAACGTTTTCTACTATCTCCGCCTCCTGGGCCTTTATTTGGGACCTGTGGTGGGTGCCTTTCCAGAACACGACTCTGCGTTCCCCCCCCTCGTAATTTTCTTTTCTAAGAAAACGGGGGCTAGAGGCATTCTTGGAAATAAAGATCACGCCAGGAATGGCTGTTATGTGTAGCAGGCCGGCAGCACACATTTTTTAAAATTAAAGTCATATTTTTAAAAGGTAAGATCTCAGGATACTGCAGGGAACGAGGTAGGCTTCAAGGGAAGTGCTTTAACGGCCCTCTTTTAAGAAGCAACTTTTTAAGAAAGGCGACCTTGGTGAAATAATGTTTGGGAATGTGGGCTGTACATTTGGTTTTTATAAGAATCACCTTGGAAGCAAATGCTTAAGTAATTTGTGCCTAATGGGCTTGACATATTTAATCAAAAGATATCCCATAAGGGAATTTGGAGAGAGTCCAACTCTTAAGCTTGACGCTAAAATTTCATATTTACGTTACACCCTTTGTATACCTCATATATATACCTATTCGTCTTATGCGTCGATACTTTGAGTAAAGAAGAAATTCCCCCGTTGAGCACCTCTTACTATCAGGACATTATTTTCCAACCGTTAACAAAAATGTGCTTGTTTTTTTTCATTTTTACCTACTCATTCTCGCCCACGCCAAAGACTGAAAACGTATCCGTTGTTGTCTGAAAACTAATAAAGGAGAAATTTTAGCTCAGGGTTGAAATGAGGGGGTCCTTGGTGCTCTCTGAGCTTGGCTGTTTTCTTGCAGATGTTTCATTACCAAACTAGCTAACAGCATCAGTGCACTGAAAATGTTACCTAGTTTGAGTAAATGAAACATCTGCAGGAAAACAACCAAGCTCAGAGAGCACCAAGGACCCCTAACGCGTCTGAAAACTGTTTAGATATCTGAAGTTAGCCATTTCTTTTTTTACCCAATGAACGTACCCACCAGCCCCTGGATGGCCCCAGAAAGAGCATCAATTTGCCCTGTCAAGAAACAGAGACAATTTGGATTTTAGATGCATCGTTTCGCCTGTATTTTATAAAGATCCCAAGCTGATTTCAGGAGTCTAGTTGAAAAACCAACAGGAAAGTCAAGGAATAAAATAGGACCTTGGCCTCACCTTCTGCTTTAATCGGTAACAGTTAAGTGTCAGGCTTTATTCACAAATTCTGTACAGACCAAAATAAAGAGAGGGAAGGACAAGGAGAGGTCCAGAACTTAAGGAGGCCACTTCTGAAACAACAGCGGTGGAATTTCCTGTAACAAAGAAAGAGAAGGAAGATCAGGAAATTTTACAGCCAGGTTTTGTACGGCTCGGGTGTTGCAAGTTGACCCTGGCTATTTGCTTTCTGGGTTTGGAAAAGAAATTAGACAAAAGAAAAAAAAACAACTTTACTGCCGCTCAAGTCCTGCCCCCTGTCCCTCTCCCCTGGGGCAGGCTGAAGCTGTATAATTCCACTTCCCCATAGTGACAGGCCCAGTGGTAAAACACCTGTTCTACATACAGGAGGTCCTGTGTTTAATCTCCATTAGGACTGGGGGGAAAAACCTGTCTAAAACTTTGCAGAGCTTCTGCCAATCAAAACAAATCAGGCACAGACAAGATTTGCAACTCAGCACTGTTTTTTTTTTCTGTTTTGGCAGCAAGAGTGAATTAATTCCTACCCCTGAGATGACAATGCAATTCTTTTAGAAGCATTTCTGCCTAGAAGTGATGTGGTTTGGTTGAGGGACTCTGCAGAAAATCATTCCCTGCCATGTTCTCACAGCTGCAACCTTCCCAAAGATTAAAGAGGAGCAGATAGATCTTTATCCAATATATTATTATTATAATAATAATAATAATAATAATAATAATAATAGTAGTAGTAGTAGTAGTAGTAGTAGTAGTAGTAGCAGCAGTAGTAGTAGTTGGAAGGGACCTTGGAGGTCATCTAGTCCAACCCCCTGCTCAGGCAGGAAATCCTATACCATTTCGGACAAATGGCTGTCCAGTCTCTTCTTAAAAACTTCCACTGTTGGAGCATTCACCGCTTCTGGAGGAAGGTTGTTCCACTGGTTAATTGTCTAACGGTCAGAAAGTTTCTCCTTAGTTCTAGGTTGCTTCTCTCCTTGGTTAGTTTCCATCCATTGCTTCTTGTCCTGCATTCAGGCGCCTTGGAAAATAGCTTGACTCCCTCTTCTTTGTGGCAGCCCCTGAGGTATTGGAAGACTGCTATCCTGTCCCCCCTCGTCCTTCTCTTCATTAAACTAGACATACCCAATTCCAGCAACCATTCTTCGTATGTTTTAGCCTCCAGTCCTCTGATCATCTTTGTTGCTCTTCTCTGCACTCTTTCTAGACTGTCTCAACATCTTTTTTACATCGTGGTGACCAAAACTGGATGCAGGATTCCAAGTGTGGCCTTACCAAGGTGTTGTAAAGTGGTATTTACACTTCACGTGATCTTGATTCTATCCCTCTGTTAATGCAGCCTAGCACTGCGTTGGCCTTTTTGGCAGCTGCCAAATTTGAAGCCCAGGGTTGAACTGTGGGGTCCTTGGTGCTCTCTGAGCTTGGTTGTTTTCTTGCAGACGTTTTACTACCCAACTAGGTAACATCAGCAGTTAACTGGCACACATATATGAACATCTGCATGCAGTTTGGCCTCTCAGTTTTTACAAGCACTTGTCCTAAGGGACAGTTTTGCGCTTCTTCCTCCAGGTGGACGTTATGCCTTAATTTAGAAGCCTGTACTACAAATACGAGCAGCCGTCAACCTATGACCATAATCGAGCCCGCGATTTCCGTCGGAGGTCGTGATGGTCGTAAAGCGGGTCACCAAGTTACCCTGCCCAATTTTATGACCTTTTTTTCCCCGGCCGTCGTTCAGAAAATGTGCCGGTTGCAAAGCAAACACCACCGTCATTAAGTGGGCCCATTGTTTGCCGTGGGGTGTTTTGGTCTGGAAAATGGAAGCAAAGGTTGATTTTCTGGCAAAAGCGTTATAAACTGCAGATGCCGCAAACAGGATAAAACGCCGCTAACGCTCACGAGTGCCCAAAATGTGGTCATGTGACTATCCTCTGCCGGACATCCTGACTTCAAATCCGGATTGTAAAGTAGGTTTTTTTTTTTTTGGTCGTATGTTGAGGACCACCTGTACTGAAATCAAAGGGCGTTCAGTAAGTTCTTATCAGGGGGATGGCCTGCCTGCCTCTTTGCAAGGTGCCTCAATGCAGGTTTCTTATCCTGTTGCGCCACCTAGTGGCAGACAGATGCCGAGCAACGTTCCCAATGATTTAGCACTCCGGAGATGCATTGTGGACGTTTATAATCCGACTGGAGGCAGATTATCTGCCATGGATTGTCAGGAAATTAGTAATTCAGAGGAAATGCAATTATCCCTTTGCTTACAATTATCCCTTTGCTCACAAATGCTCAATTATTCTTTAAACACCTCCTACGTCTAAACCAGGGGCCTTCAAACTTGGCCCTTTTATGACTTGTGGACTTCAAGTCCCAGAATTCCTCAGCCAGGCACGTGTGTCTGGCTGAGGAATTCTGAGAGTTGAAGTCCACAAGTCATAAAAGGGTCAAGTTTGAAGACCCTGGTGTAAGCTCTACCATCTGATTAAGTCTCTAGAGTAGTGTTTCCCAAACTCAGCATCTCTGGCTGGGCAGTTCTGGGAGATGAAGTCCACACATCTTAAGGTTGGTGAAGATGAGAAACACACTCGTCTAAATGTTGAAATAAGAGAAATTTTGGTCACTAGATTTAAGATATTTGGAAATTACCAGAAAACAAGAATATTATATTGTATTATTAACTGGTTGATGTTAAGATGGTGAGAATTCAAATAGAGAAAGACGTGTATCCTGAACACTAGATCTTGTGATGAATTGTGATAAAGGAAATTGGGGGTTATTTAAAAACTTGGACATTATCAACATTAAACATTAAATCTAAATATTAATGGGAAACTAAAAATTGGGAAAAACTAACCAAGACATTGACTGTTTTTTTTTTAAATTGAATGTTAAAACAACTAGGATATGTATAAACAAAAATGATTGATAAATGTAAGAAAGAGAAAAAATGTAGCTGCCCCTCCATGCTGAGAGAAGGCTGTGCTGGATAGCAAGAGGTGGCTTTTTATAATTGTCTTATAATAATAATAATAATAATAATAATAATAATAATAATAATAATAATAATAATAATAATAATAATAATAATAAAGTTGGAAGGGACCTTGGAGATCATCTAGTCCAACCTCCTGCTCAGGCAGGACACCCTATACCATTTCGGACAAATGGCTGTCCAGTCTCTGTTTGTTCCTTTGGTTTTTTCCAGCAAAGTCTTTCACTTAGGCAGGAAAAACCAAAGGAACAAATACAGACTGGGCCGAGACTTGGCTCAAAAACAGTAACTGTGAGAGGGACCTTGGAGTCCTAGTGCACGATCACTTGACTATGAGCCAGCAGTGTGCAGCAGCAAACAAAAAAACTAATATAATCCTGGGCTGTATAAACAGAGGCATGGAATCAAGATTACGTGAAGTATTAGTACCGCTTTATAAAGCCCTAGTAAGATCACACCTGGAATACTGCAGCCAATTTTGGTCCCATATCACAAAAAAGATGTTGAGAGTTTGGAAAAAATTAAGAGAAGAACAACTAAGATGATCAAAGGCCTGGAGACTAAAACATACACAGAATGGCTGCGGAACTTGGGTTTTGCCAGTCTAAAGAAAAGAAGAAATAGGGGAGACATGATAGCAGTGTTCTAGTATCTGAGAGGCTGCCACAAGGAAGAGGGGGTCAGATAGTTCACCAGAGAGAAGGACGAGAAACAATGGTTGGAAACTGATCAAGGAGAGAAGCAACCTGGAATTAAGGAGAAACTTCCTGACAGCGAGGACAATTAACCAGTGGAACAGTTTACCTCCAGAAATCGTGGGCGCTCCATCACTCGAAATTTTCAAGAAGAGACTGGACAATCACCTGTCTGAGATGGTATAGGTTCTCCTGCTTTAGCAGGGGGCTGGACTAGAGGGCCTCCAAGGTCCCTTCCAGATTCTATTCTATTCTATTCTATTCTATTCTATTCTATTCTATTCTATTCTATTCTATTCTATTCTATTCTATTCTATATTCTATTCTTTTCTTTTCTATTCTATTCTATTCAGCCCAAATTGTGGTGATTTCACAAATAAGGACCTGCAATATTATTTTACAGAGTTGCTTTTACAGCAGGGGTGTCAAACTCGTCATGTGGTGTATTGTGACATATCGTGACTTTTTTCCCCTTGCTGGAGCTGGGATGAGCCCGGCTTTTGTGTAACACATCTGCCCTGCGGGCCGGCCGTTTAACACCCCAACTTCATAGAGTTGCCTTCACCCGGCTCATTTTAACTTTCCCAGACTAGCTGACTGTCCTCCTACTTCCTGGTGGTCTCCTATCCAGATATCAAGCCAGGTTCTGACCTTACCAGGCCCTGCTGCCGTGGAAAGCACCCCAATATCCTAAACCCACAGATGCCAGTCTGACCGTTTTCACACTTAGGACCGTTGCAGCATCCCCACGGTCTGTGACCAAAACTCAGACTCTCAGCAACTGGCATGTATTTTTTGGACGGCTCCAGGGTGTCCCGGGGTGGTGGTGGTCCTGTGATCACCTTTTGTGACCTTCTGACAAGTAAAGTCAATGAAGAAAGCAGGTTCATTTAAACAACCACATTACTAAACTAACAACTTCAGTGATCCACTCAACAACCGTGGCAAGAAAAATAGTAAAATGTGGCAAAGTTCACTTAACGTTTCGTTTAGCAATGGAAATTATGGGCTCAATTGTGGTTATACGTCAAGGACTACCTGTATTGTTTGGCCCCCCAAAAAACTCCCCTCTGCTCCTCGACTATAGATCCTCCAATAAACCTGCTTTCTTCATTGATTTTGCTTGTCAGAAGATCACACAAGGTGATCACAGGGAGCTCGAAGCTGGTCTCAGAGGCAGAGACCGGAGCAGAAGCCCAACGGGAAATTACTCACCTGCTCACTCCAAAGCTTTCACAATTGCTTCGTTGGCTTCCACATTGATCTGTGCTTCTGCTCTGGCTACCTCATCGGTGGCCGATGCAAGCGCCGACAAGGCTTTGTCCAGGTTTGACTTGGCTGTCTGCGCACAGGAAAAAAACATCAGGCCTTTAACACCAAGGAAGCAACATCGGTCGTGATAGGACCTTTTAGGAAAAAGAGGAATAGATGTGGACCAAAAGGCACCTGCCATACAGGGAAGTGTGTTCCTCGACCTCAGGAACTTTGAAGATGCAGGGACCTCAACTCCCAGAACTGTCAACCAGTAGATTTGCATTAATTAGGATGTCTCGTTTATGTCTTCCCATCTATAGAGTCCTATACTCAGTACTTGAGAGATCCTTGGTGCTCTCTGTTAGAGAATTTTAATTTCTCTAATTGGTGAAAAATAAATCAGAAGCTCTCACAGTTGACTGCATTTAGCTAATTCAAATAACTTATATTTATATAAAAATATTTACAATACCATTCTTCTTCACAGCAACATAGCTTAATGAAGACTTCTTACAGAGACAGACCAGAGACTAAACCAGAGACAAAACTGAGACTGGAAATCCAGCTCCTAACTCAATACTCTTTTTTGCACAGACTCAGTAGCACTTTCTTCACATTGGCTGACTGAGTTACCACATGACTCTTCCTGTTCATGAATATTCCAACACTCTCTGAGCATGGCTGTTTTCTTGCAGACATTTCATTACCCAACTACCGTGTTTCCCCGGAATTAAGACCCAGCCTGATAGTAAGCCCTAGCTTGATTTTGGGGGAGGCGGGCCTAATATAAACCCTACCCCAAAACTAAGCCCTAGTTTGGGAGCGAGGCGCACTCCTAAAAATCAAGCTAGGGCAGGGGTGGGGGTGGGGTGAAGCTGCCCCATGCGCCCTGCAACCGCTTACCTTACCGGTAGGACCACCACAACCAAGTCTCCCACACCCTGACAATTGTCGTGCCACTGCTTGACGTCTTCTGCGGCCGCTTGCTGCCACTTGTGGCTGGATGCCATGTGGCGCACTGTGCTGTTGCCACTGCTCGAGGCAGAGCACTGCATGGTGCTTCGGGCTGCTTTGGCTGCTCGTGCAGCACTTTGGGCTGCTTCTGCTGCTCATACAGGGCTTCGGGCCGCTTCTGCTGCTCACGGCAGGAGGCGACGTAGCGCTTCAGGCCGTTTCTGCGGCGAGCAGCAGCAATGGTGCAATGGCATCTGGAAGCTAGTGGCAGCAAGCGGGCCGCAGAAGACGTCCAGCAGCAGCACGACAGGTGTCGGGGTGTGGGAGGCCTGGCTGTGGTGATCTCAGTTTACACCCCACTCCTTACTAGCACTGAGGATGTTACCTACTTTGGGTCATGAAAGGCCTGCAAGAAAACAACCAAGCTCAGAGAGCACCAAGGAAGCCTTCATTTCAAACTTGACCACAAAGATTAGTACTTCTTTAATCAAAGCTTTTTTTCCGCTTTAAATGACTGAAATGGTAACTGAGCTGCAGAAGAATTGATTTTTGTTTTTTAAAAAAGAGACCGAACTGCAGTGCTGCTGAGTCAGCATGGTAGAGAGAAATCCCTCCTAATTTGGCAGCCAAGTGGGGATTGTCTGGAGAGGGAGGGAAGATGAAATGAAAAAGGGGAGAAGACAGACAAATACTAACCGCAGCATCGAGCTCATCCAATAAAGCCACTTCTTCAGCTAACAGCTGGACAGAGGAATCTGCATTCACAGTGAGAGAACCGCTGCTCACTACACAATTGCAAAGAAATGGTACAATCAGTCAACGACGAGGCCTCCAGTGGTTAGAATTCCCTGCCTACAAAGATTGGCTTGTTCCATTCCTTTCCTAGATGGCTAGTGATGGATGTTCTCTGGGGGACACCTGACTAATGAAGCGCATGAGGTAGAAAACTACAATCAATGAGGGTGGGAGGACCAGCAAAAGGTTAGAAAATGCAGGCTATAACAAGCGCCAAAGCAAAACCACCAGCAAAATAGAGCAATCAGAAATACTCTTATTTAAAATATCCAGAGGAAAAGGAAGATTTCTGCTGGATGCTTAAGGCACACCCTCAGGTTTCCCCACATATATCCTTCTATATCAGGGGGTCTTCAAACTTGTCCCTTTTATGACTTGTGGACTTCAACTCCCAGAATTCCTCAGCCAGCTTGCCTGGCTGAGGAATTCTGGGAGTTGAAGTCCACAAGTCATAAAAGGGCCAGGTTTGAAGACCCCTGTTCTATATCATTGCATTGCATATCCTTTTCTCCACAAAAACTCAGTGTGTGTGTGTGGGGGGGAACCACCCCATTCATTTCTCCTCATATCCCCCCCCCAAATTGTTCCAATTTCATTGAAAAAACAATGAAGAATCCTGGGAGCTGAAATCTAACATGCCCGGAGAAAGTTAACCAGCAAACTGAATTAAGCTAAATATAGCTAGAGTGGATTAGGGTGTAAAAAAAAAACCCAAAAGGCTTCCTCTTTTAACTGAGACAAAGTACAAGTAGTCCTCAACTTACGGTCACAACTGAGCTCAACATTTCTGTGGCTAAGCAAGACACTTTGAATTTTTTGCCCCATTTTACGACCATACTTGCCACGTTTGTTAACATGGCAGTTGTGAAGTTAGTGACATGGCTGTTAAGTGAATCTGGCTCCCATGACTGGCTTTGCTGGCCGGAAGGCCGCAAAATGTGATCACATGACCCCAGAAAATGGCAACCGTCATAAATATGAACCAGTTGCCAAGAGCCTAAATTTTGACCATGTGACCAGGGAGATGCTGCAAGGGTCACAAGTATGAAAAACAATCCCAAGTCACTTTTTTCCAGTGCTGTTGTAACTTCAAATGGCCACTAAATGAACGGTTGTAAGTCAAGGACTAGTTTGTTGCCAAGAGGAGTGAGCCTGGCCACTTTTAATTCTTTCTGTCCATATACACAGAATGTAAGAATCTGGAAGAGACCTCAGAGGCCTTCCAGTCCAACCCCCTGCTCAAGGCAGGAAAGCTTATACCAGGGGGTCTTCAAACTTAGCAGCTTTAGGGCTTGTGGACTTCAACTCCCAGAATTCCTCATCCAGCCAGGGCTGGCTGAGGAATTCTGGGAATTGAAGTCCACAAGCCCTAAAGCTGCTAAGTTTGAAGACCCTTGGCTTATGCCATCCAAATCAAATGGTTGTCCAGTCTATTTTCCTCTAATGGAGCACCCACAACCTCAGAAGGCAAGCTATTCCATTAATTATTCTGTCAGAAAATTTATTCTTACTTCTAGGTTGGATCTCCCTTTAGTAAACCTCCTCCCATTACTTCTTGTCCTGCCTTCTGGTACTTCGGAGAATAAATCAGTCCCCTCTTCTCTGAGAGAACACCTCAAGTACTGGAAGACAGTTATCATGGCTTCCTTAATTCTTCTCTTAGATAGACTAGACCAGGGGTAGGCAACCTTGGCCCTTTTATGACTTGTGGACTTCAATACCCAGAATTCCTGAACCAGCCATGCTGCCTCAGGAATTCTGGGAGTTCAAGTCCACAAGTCATCAAAGAGCCAAGGTTGCCTACCCCTGGACTAGACATACGTGGCTCCCTTAGCCATTCAACATAGGATTTAGCCTCCAGACTGCTTATCATCTTTGTTGCTCTTCCCTGCACACTTTCTAGGGTCTCAGCAACATGGTTGTATCATAGTGACCAGAATTGGATGCTTTATTCCAAGTGTGGCTTCACTCGCGCAATACAAAGTGATATTGTTTGTCATGACCTTGATCTATTATTGCCATTAATCTTTGAACGTTAGTAACTAGCCAACATTTGGAAGAAAGAATTTGGGAAGGTGAGCGAGTCCTTTCTCTGTAGTTCTGAACAGCAGTTTTGCAAAATATGACGAGAATGTTTTAATTCAAGGGAAAGCTTGAGCTCAGAAACACTTCAGCAGTAGCTAATTGACATAAATTATCGATGGTTCCCAAGCCCAATTTGCAGATCTTCATTCAAGGGAAAAAAGGGACCACAGTTCTCTTGTGAAAGATGTCTCCCAGCTAAGATAATTTCCTGTTCTTTCACCAGCCACCATTTCCAAACGCACCGAAGTACTTTTTGGAGGAGCCATCCTCATCAAAGACGGTCACAACGCCAGGTCTCAGGACCTGCAGAGTGGGAACGTGAGCAGCCAAGATGCCAAAGGATCCACTTAAGGTAGGAACATCCACCTGTTTCACAATGGCAGCGTTGTAGAAAATCTGTAGGAAAAAAAATGGGAAAGAAAATACAGGTAGTCCTTGACTTACAACTGTGCATTTAGTGACCATTAAAAGTTACAATGGCACTGAAAAGTTATTTATGACCATTTTTCACACTTACAACTGATGAAAGCCATTGCAACATCCCCATGATCACGTGATCAAAATTCAGATGCTTGGGAACTGACACACCTTTATGTCTGTTGTAGTGTCCCAGGGTCATGTTCACCTTTTGTGACCTTCTGACAAGCAAAGTCAATAGGAAAACCAGATTCACTTAACAACCGTGTTACTAATTTAACAACTGCAGCGATTCACTTTACTGTGACAAGAAAGCTTGTAAAATGGAGCAAAATTCACTTAACAAAAATTTTGGGTTCAGTTGTGGTCGTTAAGTCGAGGACTACCTGTAAAGGTGTATTTTCAAGGAACCTGTTAAGGAGAGAAGACACTGCAGCAGGATTTAAAAAAAAACATAGAAAACAAAAGAGAAGAGAGCTGATAATTATTATTCTTGATTCATATGAAGGATACTTATATACTGCCCAGAGTTGCTGATAATCAAGTGGTATATAAATTTTAAAATAATAATTTATCTGGGTACAGAACCCACGGCCTCCAAAAAATTGAAACGACAGCCTTCAGTTCCAATCCAGGAAGCCCAATACAGATAATCCTCGACTTACGACCACAATTGAGACCAGAATTTCAATTGCTAAGCAAGGCGGTTGTTAAGTGAATCGTGCCCAATTTTAAAGCCTTTTTCCATTTTTATTAAGTGAAGTTGTTAGCGAATCCAGCCTCCTTCTCCGCCTACATTACCTGCTTGCATCTCGATCTGGTTAACTAGGAACTGCCCTTCTCCATTGGGCACGTTCACACAACAGAGTAAACCCGGATTAACAACTCACACGAGCTTCACGGAACAAGGGATGCCCAAACCCAGAAGGCAACCAGACTTCGCGCAGATCGTTCCGATAACGAATACGCGACCCAGCAGGCCCACATGCCCGCCTCAGTTCGGTTGCCATGACAATACCTGAGCGGGCGAGGCGAAGGTGAAGGCCAGCTGTGCAGGGCCCGTAGCAGCTGCTGCCGCTTCAGCATAATAACGGGACGGGGACCGGGACCCCAACACCAAAGCGCGGGCGAGAAAACGACCGATGGGGAACATGGCGAAGCCAAGGGCAGACAGGAAAAGCAGCAGCGAGGTCGACCGGCAACCAGGCCTGGCCTACAAGTCCCAGCAGGCTCCGCGAGGGAAAGAGGGTTTGCCACGAGGCATGACGGGAAGCAGGATGGTTTTTGGTTGGTTTTTTTTTTTTTTTTGGTGAATATGAACCGAGATTTTCCCAAGAAGCACCGTGGCATAAACTCCACCCACTTCAAGGAAAACGTTGCTCAATGCCGAACTGCATTTCCCAGCAGATCATACCGCCAACAGCCTGATACGTCGCCTCTGATAAGGCCTTTCCCCTGGGAAATTGACCAATAGCGATTAAGCCTCTCTCATGCGGTGCTGGGTGGGAACTGTAGTCCCGATTTTTGCGAGTCGATCCGATATTCACTTAATCTCTGTTATTTAGCCCTGTGCGGATATTTCTCACCTTATTTCAGGTTTAAGATATTCAGGTTCCGCTTTCGACTACCTCCATTCACGGCTCCAAGAATAAGGGAATTCCTGACAGAGATTCGTCTAGGGGCCTACTTCCCTAATTGAGATAAAAGAATCGGAAGTTGGTCCGACTCTGCACTGCGCCCCCCGCCGACACTTCCGGTCCGGGCCGCTTTTTCTCAGAAATCGGCGTTTGCCGATCCGAATGGCGGCGACTTGCTTCGTTTGGCCGCTGGCGCTTTGGATCGTAATAATCGCAGCGGTGACGACGACCCACTCGAATAAGACGGTGACCGTTGAGGCCGCGTCTCTTGCTCCTTCCCTGCCGCCGAAAGAGAAAACCCACGAGAGTGCCTCACGGCCCGCCTCCAGTGCCACAACCGCGACGACATCCGGGTCCCCGCCGTCGGGGCTGTCGGGATTGGGCCTGCCGGCCCTTCACCGCGCGCTCTACGTCGTGGCCGGCCTGGCAGGCATCGGCCTCCTCTACTATCTCGGAGGCCGCACGTTTCGGTGAGGAAGAGCGGCTTCTATACGGGTGGGGTGGGTCTAGATGACCTCTAGGTATACCATCCAATTTGGCCGCCGCCTTTAGGTTAAGGATCTACTTCAGTTCAGGAGAGAGGGAAGGAGGGAAGGCAGGACGGGAGGAGAGAGGGGAGGGGTGGAGAGAGGAAGGATGGAAGCAAGGAAGGAGAAATGGGAGAGGAGGAGAGAGGGGAGGGGTGAAGAGAGGAAGGAAGGAAGGAGAGGAGGAGAGAGGGGAGGGGTAGAGAGAGGAAGGATGGAAGCAAGGAAGGAGAAATGGGAGAGGAGAGGGGAGGGGTGAAGAGAGGAAGGAAGGAAGGAAGGAGAGGAGGAGAAAGAGGAGGGGTAGAAAGGAGAGGGGAGAGGAGGGGAGGGGTGGAGGAAGGAAGGAAAGAAGGAGAGATGGGGGAGGTGAAGGAAGGAAGGAAGGAAGGAAGGAGAGGAAGTCCTCCATAAGTTGTGAACTTCACCTTCCATCCAGCCCATCAGTTGACATGCTAGCTGGGATTGATGGAGAAAGCAGTCTTAGAACATCTGAAGGGCACTCAGCTTGGAGTAAGCTTGATCTCTGTTATTCATTTCCTAATGGAGAAACTATTAGCAGCCAAGCAAGCATCCTACTTTTGTAAAACGCTGATTCTGTATGAAAATTATTCAGTATTAACTGGAAGTGTTAGATTGGTACTAAATAGTGGCAGTTCTCTGAAAGAAACCATGAGGAGCACTTCAATATGACTACCATGTGGAGCCAATTTTATATCTAGGTAGTCCTCAACTTAACAACAGTTCGTTTAGTGACCGTTCAAAGTTACGACAGCACTGAAAAAAGTGACTTAGGACCCTTTTTCACACTTATGACCATTGCAGCCATCCCCATGGTCACGTGATCAAAATTCAGATGCTTGGCAAGTGATCCATATTTGTGACGGTTGCAGTGTCTTGGGGTCATGTAATCACCTTTTGTAACCTGTCAAGCAAGGTCCATGGGGAAGCCAGATTCACTTAACAACTGTGTTACTAAACAACTGCAGTGATTCACTTAACAACTGTGGCAAGAAAGGTTGCAAAATGGGGCAAAACTCACTTAACAAATGACTCACTTAACATACATTTGGGGCTCAATTGTGGTCGTAAGTCGAGGACTGCCTGTAGTGTCCTTATTATATATTTGTTGTTACTTAGAACACATTGGTTAGTCTGATAAATCTAATATATATAGTATAAAGACAGGAGCTCAGTCTTTGCTCAGTTGCCTGAGACCATCTTTCCTCTGGAAATGTCAGCCACAGTGGAAAACTGGTTTAGACCTCAGTCACTAAATCCCAACACTGTTCGTTAGTCTAATAAACTTGATTTAACATTGCCTTTAAGGGGGGAGTCCTCCAAAACTGGCAGAAGTAATAAAGCAATGGTACCAAAAGGTCTCTGGATCCGGATAGCTTCCATTACTAGTTCTGGACAGGATTCCACTCTCCTAGACTAAAGTGGGCTAAAATTTGGAGGTGCTTGTAATTTCATGGTTCAGCCTCAAGGAGCAGTTGCCATCTGTGGTCAGGAAGCTTTTATACAACTGCATCTTACACACTAGTTGTGCCTGTATCAAGAGGCTGCCCTCAGGGTAGAACATGCCTTCGTCACTTCCTGGTTGGGCTGTTGCAACATGCTCTACATCAGTGGTTCTCGACCTGTGGGTCGGGACCCCATTTGGGGTCGAATGACCATTTCACCGGGGTCACCAAACAGTGCAGTCCACCATTTTTTTCCCCTTTTTCCTTAGCTGTGCTACTCCCTTTTATTCTATTGGCTTTTGAAAGCCAATAGAATAGGCTGTCTTGAATAGAGTCTAATTCTGTTGGCTTTCAAAAGCCAATAGGAATTGTCCAGGCTGTCTCTGCCCTGCTGAGCCTGCCAAAAGTCCCATTCTGCAAACGGTGCTGCACCAGTTGAGTAGTCCTCGACTTACGACCGGTTGAGTAGTCCTTGACTTACGACTGGTTGGGGTTCGCGGCATTAAAAAGGTTGAGAACCACTGCTCTACATGAAGCTGCCCTTGAAAAGCATTTGGAAGCTGCAGCTGATCCAGCTTGTGACAGAGTTTTGGGTGTGCACCCATGTTCACGCCACTACTTACTGAAGCTATATTTTCTTTCAGTATGTTTCCAGCTGCAACATAAGGTGCCAGTTATGGTATGGAGCCAGGATGCTTGAGAGGTCAATAGTCTCCCATCTGTCTCACTAGATCAGGGGTCTTCAAACTTGGCCTTTTTATGATTTGTGGACTTCAACTCCCAGAATTCCTCAGCCAGGCACGCTGGCTGAGGAATTCTGAGAGTTGAAGTCCATAAGTCATAAAAGGGCCAAGTTTGAAAAGCCCTGCACTAAATATGGCAAAATGGGCCTCCAGGACATTCTGTAAAGCTGTGCTGTTTTATGGAACAGTGTCGTTTTATGTTGTGCCTTCTTAGTCAGAGGACCTGCCCTGTGGAACAGCTTCCCCTTGAGATTTAGATGGCTCTGATCCTGTTGGCTTTGTGCTTTGAAAATGTGATTACATTTTTTTTTGCTGGTTTTATATATAAGTTCCTGTTTTATGCTTTGTTAACCATGTGGAGTTAGCTGAGGAAGATGGCCAATCGTTTGGATCTGTGAAGTAAATTTGTGAATAAATTCTGCAACTGATTGTAGACTTATTTTGTAGGACCAGGAAACCTCCACGGAAAAAATACGGACTTCTGTCCAACTCAGAAGATCCCATGGAGATGGCTTCTCTAGAAAGCGACGAAGATACGGTATTTGAAATCAGGAATTTGAGACGGTGAGAATCAGTTTCGCTGTGTGTTCTTTTAGTTTGCTGCAGCAACACAAATGATTCCTAGCGACAGGGCTGCAGGATATTGTGATTGGATTGCAATGAATTATAGATTCTTTGCATGTTAATTACTTTTTGCCTATTTTGTTCAGAGCTGGAGACCTTAAGACTCTTCCGATTATGTTTGCATCAGCCTTTGCTAGCCTGGATTATGATGTTTAATTTGATAGCTTTAATATTGAACAGAATTTAATTTATATTGGTTTCCTAGACATTCTTTATGTGGTTTGATTGTACTATTTTTTGTAATTTTTAAATTGCAATTTGTCCAGAGTTATCCAATTGAGAACGGCAACTGTATTAATCAAATACATGTTCAGTACCTTGAGTTGGTTACAAAAATAATAGAGCAGTGGTTCTCAACCTTTCTAATGCTGCGACCCCATAATACAGTTCCCCATGTTGTGGTGACCCCCAACCACTTATACATCATCGGGTGCCAGGGGCATGGCCAAAGAAAAGGGGAAAAAAATGGCGGACAGCCTTGTTTGGCGACCCCCGTGAAATGGTCGTTCGACCCCAAATGGGGTCCCGACCCACAGGTTGAGAACTACTGTAATAGAGGGAGGGAAGGAGGAACACATGTTGAGCCAAGGCTGCTCCGATTCTCTTCCTCACCTTTTCTGCTTTTCCAGGGCTGAGCAACTGTTTCCCTTCTCCTGCCCCTTCTCAAGACTGGAACTAAATTATGCTGTGCTGAAAAATCCTATTAATCCTCAGAGTAATCTGAGACTCAAAATTAGGCAGTGACAGGACAGCAATCCAACTAAAGAGAGGTGCACTTATTCAAATTAAGAATCTGATCGCTTTGAATATTATTGGATGTTATTAAATAGAAGTGAAACAATATACAGAATTGCAGCTGTAGCTAATTATTTGGCTTCCTGCAGTGAACAGAAGTCTCCTTTAGACAAGGAAGCTTTACACTAAACCAGTGTTTCTCAACCTTGACAATTTTAAGGCATGTGGACTTCAACTCCCAGAATTCCACAGCCAGCAACGCTGGCTGTGGAATTCTGGGAGTTGAAGTCTACATGCCTTAAAATTGTCAAGGTTGAGAAACACTGCACTAAACAGTAGCTTTTAACAAATATGATTAAACACCCATGGTAAATTTTGGTAGAACACGGCTTTGACTAATCTATCTGCTACTAAAATGCCCATCTACGGTGATGAAAGGATGTTCTCAATAAACTTCGTTTATCCTGCCTTTTAGGACGCGTGGTCTGGACACATAAAAAAAAATAAAACACTATAGCACCTCAGCAATTAAGATTGCTCAGTTGAAGCACTGCAGCTGTTATGCCTATTGGCATATAGGCCAGTAGGCATAACAGGGGTGTCCAACCTTTTTGGATTGGTGGCCTGATGGGAGAGGCAGGCACCTTATGCACGCATGTGCAAACATGAATGTGGCCACATGTACGCACGCGCGTAGAACCAGGCTGTGAGCAGGTGCACCATACAAGTGGGGCTGCGAGCATGTACGTGAGGCTCTCAGTGGCGGCAACGCCTTTGTGAGGCTTGTGGTACCACCGCCGCCAGGCTCATGGCGATGCTGCCACAGCGAGAGGCTCGTGATGCTGCCCCCGGTGCAAGGCTCATGCCCCTGTCCCTGTCCCTGCGCGAGGCTTAACGCCGGCAGGATTGCCATCCCGGTGTGAGGACCGCACCGCCGCCCCGTGCAAGGATTATGGTGCGGCCTGCAGTGATGCCATCCTGGTGCGAGGATCACGCTGCCACCGCATGCGAAGATTGTGTCACAGCCTGCAGCAATGCCGACCCGGCATGTGGTTCATGCTGCCACCCGTGCGAGGATCGCGCCACGGCCCACCTGTTGCTTGCGGTGGTGCCGCCTGCACAAGGTTCGTGGCAATGCTGATGCCCTGCACACAACATTCATGACAATGCTGTCGCCCGCACAATACTAGCAGTGCTGCCATCTCCTGCACACAACACTTGTGGCATGAGGAGGGTCGAGCACACGCTTATGCACTGCCCAGCTACTCATGTGGCCCGGCGGCCAAGAGGCCTCGGCCCATGGGTTGGGGACCTCTGCCCTAATGGATTATTGATGTTAAGAATGGAAAAATGAGAAACGCCTGGAAATGGGGGAAAAAGATTAACTAAATGCTAAAAGCTGTTTGAATATTGGCAAAGCCGGTATCTCAGTGGGAAGAAAGTTGCAAAGCATTCCTGAGTTGAAAAATTATCCTCTTGCTATACAGATAGCCCTTGACTTACAATTGGTTGCTTAGCAATGGTTCAAAATTACGGTGGACTTTTCTGGGGGCTACTTATGAGCTGGATTTGGTCACGTGACTGACCGTGGGGATGCTTGGCAGTTGGGTCACAGCATCCATTAATCACCTGACCACGTTTTATGATGGCTTTGCTGAAAATGGTGCCAATAGCAAACCCCTGTTTTGCTTAATGACTACAGCAGCCACTTTATGACTGTGGCATTTGCTTAACAGCTATTGCAAAAAAAAGGTCAGGTTGGGTCAGTCCTGCGTCCGACCTGTTTTGTGACTGTCACAAGTTATGGCCATGATGGGCAGGTTCCATTTATGATCGTAAGTCCATGACTACCTATATAGTGTGTGCTCACTGAATTAATCTTAAGAGCAGGGGTCTTCAAACTTGGCCCTTTTATGACTTGTGGACTTCAACTCCCAGAATTCCTCAGCCAGCCATGTTGAGGGGAAAAGGAGAGGTTTCCAAGTTGAGCCATGCTGGCTGAGGAATTCTGGGAGTTGAAGTCCACAAGTCATACAAGGGCCAAGTTTGAAAACCCTTGTCTTCGAGGAATAAAAAAAGATCTTTGAAGCAGATACTGATGTTTAAGTAAGGACACTTGAGTTGCAATGGTCTTTCAAATAATCTGATCCTATTTTTTTAAAAAAAAATATGTTGAAAGGTTTAAGTGTAGATTTCTGCTTCTGTAAGCAGTCAAAGTGGCTGTTTTGTTTGGAGGCACCACTGTCTCCTGACAATCTGCACATTTCAAAAATACAATCTAAAACAGGGGTCTTCAAACTTGGCCCCTTTATGACTTGTGGACTTCCACTCCCAGAATTCCTCAGCCAGCATGCCTGGCTGAGGAATTCTGGGAGTTGAAGTCCACAAGTCATAAAGGGGCCAAGTTTGAACACCCCTGATCTAAAGGCACAAACCAATCCACTCTATCAACTGAAAGTAGGACGTTGACTTGTAAAGTTACACAACTTGATGTCAGCTGAGCACATTTAGTCCAGCTGAACCTAAAACTGAACTTACTTTAAAACAGTGTTTCTCAGCCTTGACAATTTTAAGGCATGTGGACTTCAACTCCCAGAATTCCACAGCCAGCAATGCTGGCTGTGGAATTCTGGGAGTTGAAGTCCACATGCCTTAAAATTGTCAAGGTTGAAAAACACTGCTTTAAAAGGTAAGTTACTAAACTGAGTCCAGAAGTTGAGTTTAATGCTATTGCTTTGTTTCCTAGGTGATAATAGGACTTGTGGTTTTTCCAACTCGACCAGAGAAGATGCAGATTCACCAATGGAAGAATCTTGAACCTCTGTTACTTTAAAAAAAAAAAAAAAAAATTCCTGAAGTTTCTTGCGATGTGAAAACCTAGCAGCGTGAAACTTTCTCTTCGGTTCCCTTCAACAGGAGAACTGTCGTACAGCCACCACAGCGAATGTATCTGCCTGGAGTTGCAGAATTGCAGAAAAAAATTACGAGGGTTTTCAGGGGTGGGTCTTTCTACCTTGCTAACCAATCTGGGACGAGCGGCTAAGATGGCAAAGCTGCCATTCACAGTTTGAAGCGGGTGCCGGCTGCTGTCGCTTCAGATGGGATCTTTCTTATAAAGAAAGTTGGACCTCCTTAAGAGATTGGAAAATTCAAGCGTGCACTTTGTGGCAATCGCCGCCCTTAGGAAAAAGCTTGCGGGTCCAGTTGAGGTGTGGCACATTGGAGAACACCCGAGCAAGGTCAGGTCATTCACCAGCTTCTGTGTTAAGGAACTGCAGGCTGCCCACCTCGTTTGGCCTCCGCTTGGATTTCCTGTTCTGCTTTCCTTTGGTTGTGTCATCGAGAAAAAAAAAAGTTACTGTCTGCTTTTGAATCTGGTTGTTTGTGAAGCAATATCATTCTACAAATTGCTGGAGCCAGAAACATGCAAGCCATTAGTTACTCTGGTGATTACAAACAACGGTGCTGGCACCTGGTAATTTTTGCAAAGAAATTTGTTTTCCTTTTTCGGTTGATTCCATTTCAGTTGACCCTGTTCAGGGCTCAACTTGATCCATGCTGGCCATCCCTTCTTCTCCCAAGGAGAAGTAACACAAAACCACAATAGATTGCTTAACAATTGTTAAAAAACCGTGTTTGCAATGAGGGATAGCCGGAAATGCTGCATTAGCATCTTAAAAATGTAACGAGATGGCAGCTGTACCTTAAGGGTGTGTGTGTTTGTGTGTGTGTGTGTGTGTGTGTGTGTGTGTGTGTGTGCGCGCGCGCGTGCGCGCGCGTGCACAGGCTGGGCCAGTAGCTGCAGACATAAATACATAAAACCTGGCCCTTCCTGGTTAGATAGGAAAAATACTTTTTCCCCAAATAAATTAATTCGGGACATCTTGAACATTTAATTCATGGTAGTTCTTTCCTCTTTCACAGCGATCATATATGACAAGCCAGTTTTAAAATAATATTTCCAGTTGAATACAGAAGATTGTTTTGGAAAAGATGGTACTTGGAGAAATAAGAATTGGATGTGTTCAGCCCAATACGTGAATAGCAATACTAATCTGTTATTGCAGTGTTTTTCACCCTTGGGGGCTTTAAGGCATGCGGACATCAACTCCAAGAATTTTGGGAGTTGAAGTCCACGTGCCTTAAAGTTCCCAAGGTTGAGAAACATTTTGCTAGTGTATCTGGCCAATAACAGAGGTATTGTGTCCTCAAATAAAAATCTTGGGACCCAAGAAGTCAGCAGTATTTTAATTACCAAACTGCGAGATGATCAGTCAGGCATTTTTCCTTTCGTGGTTTATTGGGACCAGCTGCTGTTTAGATTGGGAGGTTTTTAAAAAATGATTTTAAGACAGTAAACGTGTATTAAAACAATGCAATAAAATGTTTTCACTTTTAAAAATAAAGCAGGGTAAGAGAGCACCTTTATGCTAAACTGTGATGCTCGTGGGATTTGTTGTTGTTGTTTCCAGAGAGAGAGAAAAAAGCCAAAATTCTTCAGTTAATGAATAATAAACACCCCTCTCCTGCTTGTTGTGTCTTCTTCAAACCTGGGATTAAAAACTATGTTTTGTGGATCTGCAGAGAGCTGATTGTGTTTGTTGCATTTGTGAAAAACAACCTTCGCCAAAGGGTGAACTCCAGATGTGTTGGGTTGGAACTCCCCCCCCCCGCAGCCAGTGTACAGGTAGTCCTCGACTTACAACTATTCTTTTAGTGACCATTTGAAATTACAATGGCGCTGAAAAAAAGGTGACGACCATTTTTCAGACTTACAACCTTTGCAGCGTCTCCATAACCGGGTGATCAAAATTAGGATGCTTGGCAACTGGCTCATATTTATGACGTGCTCTGGGGTCATGTGGTCGTCCTTTTACAACCTGACCAAGTCAGTGGGGAAGCCAGATTCAACAACTGTCTTATTGACTTAACAACTGCAGTTGTTAACTGTGGCAAGAAAGGTCGTAAGATGAGGCAAAACTCACTTAACAACTGTCTCCTTTAGCAACAGAAATATGGATATAAGTTGAGGACTACATCTATAGCAGGGGTGGGCAACCTTGGCTCTTTTATGACTCGAGGACTTCAACTCCCAGAATTCCTGAGCCAGCATGGCTCAGCTTGGAAACCTCTCCCTTTCCCCTCAGCATGGCTGGCTCAGGAATTCTGGGAGTTGGTCCACGAGTCATAAAAGAGCCAAGGTTGCCTATCCCTGCTCTAGATCAATTTCTTTTCTGGGATGACCGTAGGCCAGTGTTTCTCATGCTTGCCAACTGTAAGAAGAGTGGACTTCAAACTACCTAAATTTTATGAGCAGTATTTTGAGGGCCTCTATCCTGTCTCATAACTACCGGGATATGCATTTATTCCATGGTTATTCCCATCTCTTCTTTCCAGCACTCTTTATGGGTCCTTCATGCTCTATGATTTTTAATAAAAACTACTAGAGAGTGATGACAGCCAGTGCATTTCCTTTAGAAACCTATTGAATTGTTGTTGCTGAGAGTATGGAAGTCATAGGGCCCTGACTTAGCCTCCCTTGTTTTGTCCCAGCCCATGTGAGTCCTTGCTATGCTCACAAGGAGAAACTCCTCTTCCAATCAAGCAGGCTGGAACCGCAGGAAAAAAACAAACCCCCTTTTATTATTCACAGACCTGAGTCAATGTCCAAGGCAAACAAACAGTTCATAGAAACTCGATTGTCAACACGAACTGTTGCCTTCAGCAACCAGCACCTTCAGCACCTTTCCTCTTACAATTCAGCCAAGGTGTGGCTTCCTAATGCCTTCTCCTTTGCCTTTGGAGCCGTCCCATTGCATGCCTCTGTCCTACTCGCTTCTCTTGCCTGCGCTTTCGTGCATCTGTGATTTGTCCCAACTGTTCTTCATCGCTGTCCAACTCAGGCTCCCAGCACAGCCTGAGTGCGAGTAGAGGGGCCAGGCTCCTTGTCTGACTGTAAGTCTTGGAGCTCCTCAGAGCCTTCCTCCAACTCTGATGTCACTCCAGGCCCCTCCTCCTCATGTGATTCCTCAGACTCAGCTGCTGGCTCCATTGGCTGGCGAGGAATCACAACATCCCTAGAGGTTGCAATTTCAAACTCTTTGTTCTTGTGGGTGACAGTTTTCTATACAGCTAGTCCTCGACTTATGACCACAATTGAGCCCAAAATTTCTGTTGCTAAATCAGACATTTGTTAAGTGCTAAGTGCACTCCCTTCCTTGCCACACTGCAAGAAAGTGAATCACTGCAGGTGTCGAGTTAGTAATCTGGTTGTTAAGTGAATCCGGCTTCCCCATCCAGTTTGCTTGTCAGAAGGTTGCAAAAACCTGATCACGTGACTCTGGGACACGGCAACCGACATAAATACATGCTGGTTGCCAAGCGTCTGAATTTTGATCACATAACCACGGGGGATGCTACTGTGGCCATAACTGAAAAATGATCCCAAGTCACTTTTCTCAGTGCTGTTAACTTTGAATGGTCACTAAATGAACTGTTGTAAGTCGAGGACTACCTGTATTTGTCGGACCTTTTGGCCGAATGCTTCCTGTATTTCAAAATCTTTAAAAAATTAACTCTTTTTAAAAGGAACCCTGATGGGGCACTGCCTAGAATGCGGTGTTGCAGGCTAACTCTGCCCACAGCCCAGAGTTTGTTCCTGACAGGCTCAGAGTTGACTCATCCTTCCATCCTTGCAAAGTCGTTAAAATGAGGACAGATTGTTGGGGGCTATGTGCAAATGAAGAGGGAGTCAAGCTCTTCTCCAAAGCGCCTGAAGGCAGGACAAGAAGCAACGGATAGAAACTAATCAAGGAGAGAAGCAACCTAGAACTAAGGAGAAACCTCCTGACAGTGAGAACAATTAACCAGTGGAACAACCTGCCTCCAGAAGCAGTGAATGCTCCAACACTGGAAGTTTTTAAGAAGAGACTGGACAGCCATTTGTCTGAAATGCTATAGAGCAGGGGTAGGCAACTCAAAACACTCAAAGAGCCACTTTGACCCGTTTCCCACCGAAAACAAAACACTGGGAGCCGCAAAACCCTTCTGATATCTAAAATGAAGATAACACTGCATTTATCCTTTTTTACCATTTTATATATAGGTAAAAAAGGGTATATGCAGTGTTATCTTCATTTTAGATGTCAAAAGGGTCTCCCTCTGTCTCTCCCCCATCTCTCCCTCTCCCTCTTTCTTTCTGCCCTTAGTCTGCCAGTCCTCTTCACCCACTTTCTTTCTCTTTCCTCTCTCTCTCCCTTTCTCTTTTTCCTCTCCCTCTTTTTCTTTCCTCTCTCTCTCTCCTCTCCCCCTTTCCTCTCCCCTTTTTCTCTCCCTCTCTTTTTCTCTTTCCTTTCTCCCTCTCTCTTTCTCTTCACCCCTCTTTCTCTCTCTTTCTTTTTCCCCCTCTCTCCGATCTTCTGCTCACCTGGAAAGCTGACTTCAAGCTGTTCTCTAATAAGGGGTAGGCAACCTCAGCTTTTATGACTCATGGACTTTAACTCCCAGAATTCCTGAGCCAGCATATCTGGGCTAGCTAGCTCTCACCTGCCCTTCCTGTTTCCTGCTTCCTGCAGAGATGCAGCCAAGGGGGAAGCCCCACCCAAAAAGCTTTTTGGCTCGTTGGAGAACACCGTGAGTCCACTCTCTTTTTTACACACACACACACACACAGAGAGAGAGAGGGAAAGGCAAGTGCCTCTCTCTCTCTGTGCAAATGGCAGAGGAGGCTAGGAGCCAAAGGGGAAGGCTCAAAGAGCCACATGCGGCTCCGGAGCCGTAGGTTCCCGACCTATGGTATAGGGTTTCCTGCCTGAGCAGGGGGTTGGACTAGCCCAGTGGTAGGCAACCTTGGCTCTTTTATGACTCGTGGACTTCAACTCCCAGAATTCCTGAGCCAGCCATGCTGAGGGAAAAGGGAGAGGTTTCCAAGCTGAGCCATGCTGGCTCAGGAATTCTGGGAGTTGAAGTCCACCAGTCATAAAAGAGCCAAGGTTGCCTACCCCTGGACTAGGTGACCTTCAAGGTCCCTTCCAACTCTTTGTTTATTCTCAGAATTCCCCAGCCAGTTTCTGGGACTTGAAGTCCTCACATCTGAAAAGCTGTCAAGGTTGAAAAACCGGGCTCTAAAGGATTTGATAAGAGCCAAAGGACAGAACTAGCTAAACTCAAGGTTTAGTTTTCCTAAAAACCTTGTCTGTGTGGGCCACTTTTAATTCAGCCACTGTTTACTTCTTTTTGGGCATCTGCTCTTTCACCCAAATCAAAAGATGGCCCTTTTAAAGAGCACTCTGTTCTCTTCCTTTTCCCAGAGCTCAAAGTTATTTTCCTAGCTTCAAAAAAAAAGTAATTTTTTTTAAACTAATTATCCTAATGAAGTCAGGGGAGACCTGGTGTTTCTCTTGCTAAAAGAATACGAAATGGGGTTGTTGTTCTTTTTTATTATTATTATTTTGGCTAAAAAAGCAAATGCCCCTATGCCTCCTCCTCCTCCTCCTCCTCCTCCTCCTCCTCCTCCTCCTCCTCCTCCTCCTCCTCCTCCTCCTCCTCTTCTTCTTCTTCTTCTTCTTCTTCTTCTTCTTCTTCTTCTTCTTCTTCTTCTTCTTCTTCTTCTTCTTCTTCTTCCTTCCTTTTTGACACTGATTTGTAAAGAGATGATCAGTCTCTGGTTTCTTAATTCATCCCCCTCCTTTGTACCAAGTTCACATCCCAATCTGAAAAAAAATCTTTTAATGAAATGGATGGGAGGGAGAGATGTGTGTGTGTGAGAGAGGGAGGGAGGGAGGGAGGACAGAAGAGGGAGGGAGGAGAGGGAGGGAGAGGAGAGGGAGAGGGAGGGAAGGAGAGGGAGGGAGAGGGAGGGAAGGAGAGAGGAAGAAAGGGAGGGAGAAAGAGGAGAGGGAGAGAAGAGAGGGAGAGGGAAAGGGAGGAAGGAGAGGGAGGGAGGGAGGGGGAAGGAGAGAGGAAGAGAGGGAGAGAGAGAAAGAGGAGGAGAGGGCGGAGAGAGGGAGCGCGCACCTGTTTTTGTTGTACAGGATTATATTTTTGCATGCAAAAAAATAAAATCAGTGCTCCAAATGACCTTAATTAGTGTTGCAATTGGGAGAGAGTTTTATGAGGTTAGTGGACCAAAAGTGATTAGGTCTTGGGAGCTACACAGCTTGGCAAAGCCAGAGATGGATGCCTTTTTAGAGGTGGGTGGAGAAAGATCAGAGGCCCTTTGAGTGCGAAAAGAAGCGACTTATCCCCAGAGCTGCAATATTGTGGATTACTATTGGCTGTAAGAGAGATCTGGGTAATCCTTGACTTACCAACAGTTCATTTAGTGACCCGAAGTTACGACAGCCCTGAAAAAAGTGACTTAGGGCTGTTTTTCACACTTACGACCGTTGCAGCATCCCCAGGGTCACATGATCCAAATTCAGACGTTGGGCAACTGGTTCATCTCTACGACGGTTGTAGTGTCGCAAGCCACATGACCTCTTTTTGCGACTTCCTGGCAAGCAAAGTCAATGGAGAAGCCAGAATCATTTCACAACCGTGTTACTCATTTAACAACCTCAGCAATCCACTTAACC